ATCTGATCAAAGTTTTTATGTCTTGGAAAAATGTGAGTGCATTTTAAGGGGTTTGAAAGCTGTATTTCCATTACATGTGAAATGGCTTCTGTTAGGGGTTAAATAAATAATAATGGCACTAATAACTAATTATTGCACATCCATGAAACATAATGCCAATAACTTTAAGACCACATACACACCTAACATTTCTAGTGTTCTATGTGCTGCATGTTATTCCAAATATATGATATTATTATATTTATTTATGTTGTGTTTTTATAAACAAAATAAATAATGTTTTTCAATACACAATATATGAGTGTCCTTGTCTAACACACCCTGGTGGCAGAATTACAAATAGAATGCCATCTAATGATTCACATGATCATTAATAAATAATAACCCACGACTGATCTGGTGCACTGCCTGCATAGCAGTGTGTAGCAGCCCCACTCTGACTTCTCTCCACTAATGCACGTCCACAGGTCCTGTTTGAACATGTGTGTGATTCAGGTCAATGTGTGTGAGAAGCATGTCTCTCAGTAAATCATTTTAAAATAACAATTCAAATTCAAAAAACTAAAGCCACAGTAAGATGGTGGAAAAAAAGAAGCAAAACCTCAACATGCAAATGTTCCCACATTGTGGTAGAGTTCTAGTTTCTAGTTTGTTTGAAGCCCACAACACCGGAAACACTAACTGCTTATTGCCCATGAGAAAGTTTTAATGTTTTCAGGTTGTTTTCATTAGCAGAAAAAAGAAGACAAAAAGATAACAATATGTTTCATCTAATCTGACATGTTACTTTAGGTTCTGCCTCATTTACCATCTAGATGTTTTTCTTTTAGTACTGACTGTAACTCGTTTTCTTATTGAGAATACTGAGGGAACAGTTGAAGCTTTCACAGCGTGCTCTAACTGAATTTCCCATGATATAGTCGGTACTTGGTACAGGCTGACTGACCACTTCCTGTATTAACACCTCTGCTATAGGAGGCGCCTTTCACTCAGGCCGGACATGATGTCACTGAAGCAGCAGAATTCACAGTATTTATAACTTTGAACAACTTAAGGTAGTATTAACAACGAGTGCATGCTGATGTGACCTTATTCATATAGCACCTTTCATGTGATGAAAGCAGCTTGATGTTGTTGTTGACAATTAAGTAGCAATTAATACCAACATTTTATAAGTATACCAATCGTATATGAGAAAAGCAGAAGAGAAAAAGAGAAAATTGTTGGTGAGAGGCTTCAATGCACAAGAAGAAGTTACAGTGCAAACAGAAGTTAATAAAACGTGTGGAACAGCTGTGATAATTAATTTAAATTATGTAGTTCAATTTCCTCATTTAAAGAAAAAAAAACCTAAGGGCGCTGATGGCCTAGCGGTGAGGTAGCATCCCATGTTCGGAGGCTGAAGTCCGTCAAGCAGGCGGCCCTGGTTCAAGTCCGACATGTGGCTACTCTTGCAACTATTTTACCCTCTCTCTCAAGTTTCTGATGCTATCCACTGTCCTAACAAATAAAGGCTCAAAGCTCATAAAACATGTTTAAAAGAAGGTGATAAAAAGATATAGTAATAATAACTTTATTTATATAGCACTTCACTAATCAAGGTTACAAAGTGCTTCACCAAATGTATAGATATATACATATAGAGTATAGCATCATATATAAGAACAAAAGTATGATTATCAAAGACTGAAACTGTTGGTTGTGTCTTGTTTTTAATGCCTACTTGATTAGTATAAAATGTTTTAGAACTTCATTTTGTTTTGTTTGAAATGTTTGAAACTGTTTCTGTGAAGTGAACTTAGTAGTTAAAGGGTCGACTTCAAGTATATTTGATGTTAAAAAGAGAAGGTATAGAAAGCTTCAGAGTCAGCCTAAACCTTTTCAACAAGTTTAATCCCTCAACGTATTTTATTCATAATTTGAATAGAACGTTTATATATTCTTGTATGGGGTAATTTGTAAATACTGATTGAGTAAACTACTAAAAGGAAACTACCAATAATGTGTAACATTTAAAGCTCTGCTTTTAAAGTCAAGAAGAAAACAAAATGGCTGCTCATGGGATGCAGGACCTTGGTTATTTTCTGCCACAAAGCTGCAATGCTGTAAAAAGGTGAAATTGTTAATAATTTGTATTTCTATATTTTCAACGGTAGAGAACTTCACGTCTTTGACAGATAACGACTAAAAGTAACAACCATAACTTCTTTCAAGGATGATTTTTAGCATTCGTCTTTATTAGATAGTAAAGCTGAAGATAGACGGGAAATATGGGAAAGAGAGAGAGGGATAACAGACACCACAGGGATGAGGGTCAGAACTGCATCTGGGGTGGATGTGACCTTATTCTTATTGGCTGGTTGGTCAAAAAGCAAGAACAACCAAAAGAAACTGTTGTTCCTGTTTAAAACATTTATTAGGAACATTACAGCAGAAATACTTTAACAATACATAACTATGAAATAATTAAGATACAAATTACTGACAGTTCAATAAACTATAATGTAAATGATTATGTTGGTTGAGAGCAGGTCATCACAGATATAAAAGTAATGTTGATGTCCATCCGGGATCTTTGGAAGCCAACACTGACAAAGAAGCCGAATTTAAAGCTGCACTATCAACTGGGTGCTCAAGCTAAAATATACAGTATGAAGCAGCTGAAACAACTCGTATCCAGAGTTTAATACACAAAATTGACAGATAAATGACAAAATAAAATATTTACTTCTAAAAATAAGAATAGTCAAGAACATTCTGGTAATAATTGTAAGCTTTTAGCTAGTATGAGTAATGTAATACATATTCTGTCACTCTTATTTAACCAGAAAATGAATGAACTGTACTAACCCTTGAACATTTGTGATAGTTGGAAAGCAGAGTTGCATGTTAAGTAATGATGTGAACATAATTTATGTAATTTAATCAGCTCCTTTAAATATACAATATGTAGAAAGTCATACGAATTTTTACACTTAAATATCTAAATAATTAGAAATTGACTAAACTTATGTTACAAATATATTATCTGTCTAGTACTTACATTACCGCAAATATTTCCAACAGTTATCAAAGCCAGAGAAATCCTTAATATTATAGTAACAGAAGCCGTGTTGTCGTGGTGACCACCATGACCGAGCCTCCATGACAGACACGACATGTATAACGTTGCCATGGAAACACCGTACTGTTGCTGTATGTGCTGCTGTGATAAAAACTTCATGTAAATCAGACTTGGATACATCGTCTGTAAACATATTCTCTTCCTCAGGTCGGTTTCACTCGTTTGTCTTCACTACGGTCAACTCTTAGCTCATTTTCATCAGGGTTGGGGACAGAGTAGCAGAGAGAATCACTCCCATGATTCCCCGCCAGCCTTGATGTCGTCTTTTGTGGTAGTCCCCTGGCGGCGGAATTTACAAACTGTGAGTTCAAAGAACTGGGGAAGTAAACACAAACATGTTAGTCCACAGTATACAGTTGCTTGTATTTAAATTATCCAAAGGTTTTGTCTTTTATGTCCGTGTAGTCCCACACTTTTCTTTGCACAAAATATCTACTTTAAAAACATTCAGACCAGATATGTCTCAGAGGTCCTCTCTAGTAATCAGATGGCCAAGTGGCTTCTGTATATAGTTATGCATGTCTTTTAACTCAAAGACTGTCGTTTTAAAACTAGAAACAAGAATCCAACTAACATTATTTTGATTTATTTGCTGTTGATTTAAGACGTCTGGCCTCTATTCCAAAAAAACCCAGTAAAGAAATAAATATATATTCATGTTTTCAACTGTATTACATTGGGCATTTTTGGAGTGCACATGAATATAAAGGTATACACTGTACCATTTTCAGTGTCTTCAGTGCCTTACTGATTGGTTGACGTAATCATCCCCTTTAGAAAAATGAAAATCAAGCAAGTATTTGTTCATCAAAGTTTGTAAGGACAAGTGTCGTTCAAATAGACAGATGCATGACGAACATGAAACTCTTTTGTGACATGTTTTCCTTAAATTTGAAATATTTCATTCAGTGTATATGAATTTAAAAAACTACAGTACCAGCGTTGTTGTCCTCAGAGATTTTCAGTGTTTCGTAGACACTGGCATCACCTATAGAGAAGTCAAAACCAAGCAAAAGTCACTTTCATCCCATTTTGGATTCATATATTTTGAAGGCTACATTAATTTCTAAAATTGTGTGTATAAATACACAATATCAAGATGAAATGCTTACCGTGCAGGAGAGTAGAGTATACATCAGGTTGAGCCACATTCTGGTAAAGTTCATGACTTCTGGCAGAGTCTTGGTTGTTACTCTCAGACTGGCTTGGCCTTAAACATGCAAGATTGACAAACATTACATTGAGGACCATGGTTTTAATTACTGCTATATTTAAATTAAGTAAAGAGAGAGTTGAACCTACCTCCTGAAGCATGAGTCTGTGAAAAGACATTTGCTGTTACATTGTTTTTTACTTTATATAAGTCACATTGCTAATCTTTGTCAGTGCATTTCTATATTTAATATAAATAAAGCATTTAACAATTAGAAGTAAAAGAAAGGTCTCACCTTTGACTGCCTGCAGCGATACAACAGGAGCAGAAGAATTATAAGTACTACTCCAGAAATCAGCCCGACAATCACGAGAATTACAGGATATGAAGGGATTCCCAAGCCTGGACACGCTACAATTAATAACAAATAACTGTTAATGAACTTATAAAACACTTCTTAAATTATAGACAATGATAATTAAATGTTTTGTCATGTTGTCTCAAGCAACGGTGAAGACAAAAAAAACATGTGCAAAGAAAATAGTCTACAATGAATACATCATTTTATCGCAATCCAGGATTTAACCAAATTACTCATTCAACACTAAATTATTGAATCAATAAGGTCAATCACTTAAAGTGTGGTTACTTCCAACTAGATGGTGTATTTGACCTTTTTCTTTTTCAGACAAAACATGGTTTACATAAAATCATTCAGTAATTTGTATCTTTGTAAGGATGGGAAAGTGGCTTAGGCTAAAGAAAGAAAAAAAAATCAAAAATTCAGTCCAAGTGAATTTTTTTACAATGAACAAAACCAAGTGCAGCAATATGTACAGTACAGGCCTGGAGAAAAATGTAAAAATAACAAATAAAACTAGCAAGAAATAAGTAAATAACAGAATGTAAAAAGTGACAAACTAAAGACGCGACTCAGCGCTAAACAATGCCACCGTGGGCCCTTGCAGCGCGGCACACTCTTTGGTTACTGTCAACAATTCTCCAACACTTTGCCCCTCCAACCACCAACAACCTGCAAGGCCCTCAAGCCTCCTCTTATGTAGGAGTTGGCACCCCCGACCAAAAGAGGTGAGAAATCAATTAACTCTCTGGAGAGTATTACCTGTTCTGCAAGAAGCACAAAACATCTACAATAAGGCTAAAAACACATCAAAATACATTTCAGTTAAAGGGATACTTCACCCGTTGAAACATGAATCTGTACTGACATTGGGTCATATATGTAGTAGAAATTAGGGGCGCAAACCAGTACTCGGGTACCCGAGTACTTGTTCATTAAATAATAATCGGTTACAAAAAAATGTAATGGATAATCGTTTTGTAGTCCACATTTTTGTAAATGTTTCTTGTTGCATTGTGGGTTCTAGGATAGGCCTAATTCAAAACAGAAAAAAAAGAGCTCAAACACAAAAAGAAAATAGATGACAAACAAAGCGCTGATAAAGGCTCTGTGCTGAAACGCGTCCGTTGTTGATCCGTACGCTGCTACCCTAACAAAAATATCCCTTTAATTAGCCCCCCTATGAATTCACAATGAACAAAAAGTCTCAAACAAACAAAATATGCAACATGATCTACTAAACTTCAGTTCAAATTTGTTTTTTTAGTCCACAGAAAAAGAAGGACTTTCACTTTGCGATTACCGCTTTACTCCGCTAAACCAATGTCCGGAATACCAAAATATGAGGAACTAGCGTTGTAGTTTCACCCCGCTAACCGCAACAGCTTCCAGTGACGCAAAAATTGTCATTTTGCGTCACTGGAAGCTCCTTTTCAGACTTAAAAATACAAAGATTTCCAATCTCAGGGGAAAATGAGGGCGGGATGCACGACCATTCAAAAATACTACCAGGTTTCTAATGATACAAAGCTAAATGCAAATGGGTGAAGTATCCCTTTAAGTACATTCTCAAATGACCATTTTTTTTTACAAATCATAATTATTCTCAACAACCTAAACATCCCTCCACCTCTGCCTAACTTGGCGCCTTCCACTTGGCACACCCCCATATAAGCCAAAGGCAGGCTTCATCTCTGTTTGGCTATCTTTTGGAAGTGACTTCAGCTAGTCGGTAGGGCTACTTTGAATTGCTTGAGGACCACTGGACTATGTCTGAGAATTGAACCCAAAGTGGATCAATTCATTTGAATTACAGCAGAGGGCAGCATTACGCCTTGTAGCATTCAGCCTGCCAGAAATTCATTAGAAGATGAAGCTCTGTCTGGCAGTTCCTGGTTGAGAAAGAGGAGTGCAAGCCAGGATATGGAGCAACAGAGGACTAACAAGATATATTTGACATGTGTAACACTGAATAAAGTGTTTTAATGCAAAAAAAAAAAAAAAAAGGTCCATGAGTTTTTTTGTTGCTTGAAAATAAAACGGGTTAAAACACAGGCCTCTCAGCCGGCTTGATGTTACTTCAAGAGTGTCTGTTTAACATTAGTGCATGAAAGTATGTACATTACTTTAGAGGGCACGGGGTATCTCCCTGACTATCCCACTCACCTGTTACTGACATCCAACTCTGAGACGACTCTCTCCCTGAGGTCTGACACTTGTAGAAGCCCTCATCAGACTTTGACACAGCAGAGATATTAAGCTCCTTTCTGGTATCATTTTGAATGAGTTTGTTATTCTGATAGAAGAACACATTGGAAACAATATCTGAGCTTCTCAATCTGCAGCTAAGACTAACTGAACTTCCTTCAGTCACTGGATGGACAGGGCTCACCAGGATAATTTCAGACTCTGTAAAACAGTTAAAGAAAAGAGGATTCAGTCAGAGGTCATCAGGTTCAAACTTGAAAATTAGCAGACACAGAATGATGAGAATATATTTCTTCTTTTTTTACAGCAATGCTTCAAAGTGATGATTAATCTGATGTGTTATCTTGTGTACACCTTACTCCTTCTTATGTTTAAGACTTTGGCATCAAATGTGTTTGAACAGCAACTGTCTACAAATGTGATCAGTATTTAATAATGATATACACTCAGACCTTAATCTTTGCTTTTATCTAATTAAGAGAGTAAACTCTCCCACACTGGGCTGCTCTTTTACTTCTCAATGTCGATGGAGATAACGTGGAACTGAATGATGTTGAATTGAATACTTGGATGCTGAAAGATAAAAACTTTAAGAAGAAATGTAATAAAAACATACTCTGTTTAGTGATGTTGACAGCGTTGCTGAACTCCCCTGATCCAGACTCACACCAGTACACATTATTTCTCAATCTGTATTCCTCTATTGTGCATGTTGATCCAGTCATTGTATCCCTCAGGGAGCAATCTGTCAGGAAGCTGTCCTCTTGAAACTTCACTCTCCACTGAGTAGAGTTCCCCTTACACTCCAGTGAGACAGAATCAGAGGTGAAGTGTTGCACTCTTTCAGGACTCACTGTGAGAGATGCTGATGAAGGCAAATCTAAACAATAAAAAAAATAGAATTAAATGAATTAGGGGTTGAAGAAGGCCCAGCAGTCTAAAGATTTTAACGCTAAACAATAATGTTTTGCTGCCATTTAACTTTATTTACGTTTTAGGTTGCATCTATAAATAAAAGACTTAGGGCGCGGTCACACTGGCCATCCGTACCGTGCTGTACCCAAGCACGATTGCCCTCCCGCAGCGCCATTCCCCCGCTGGCCGGCCACACTACACAGGACTATCCGTGCCTAAGCACGATTACCTCTTGTACATAACCTCGTAATACAACACATGCACGCTCTATGTTATAATGAAGCGTGCTCAGTTTACAAACAGGCGGACGAGAGAGAGAGAGAGAGAGAGAGAGAGAGAGAGAGAGAGAGAGAGAGAGAAGAGAGAGAGAGAGAGAGAGAGAGAGAGAGAAAGAGAGAGAGAGAGAGAGAGAAGAGAGAGAGAGAGAGAGAGAGAGAGAGAGAGAGAGAGAGAGAGAGAGAGAGAGAGAGAGAAGAGAGAGAGAGAGAGAGAGAAAGAAAGAGAGAGAGAGAGAGAGAGAGAGAGAAAAGAGAGAGAGAGAGAGAGAAGAGAGAGAGAGAGAGAGAGAGAGAGAGAGAGAGAGAGAGAGAGAGAGAGAGAGAGAGAGAGAGAGAGAGACGGGCAGTCGAGTCCACAGGCGCACATCAGAGAACAACACAGATCATGACAGCTACTTGGTGTCTTATATTGAGTCATTTTAGTCAGATACAGACATGAAACTGTGGATTTCTCCACAATGAAGGCTGTCAGCGTTGTGTACACGTGCTTGTGCTCGTGCATGAAGTGTACTGTGCCTGAGCACGGCACGGAGCGGTCACACTGGTCAAACTAACTGGACTTTAGCGTTGAAGTGTGCTTGGGCACGGTACGGATGGCCAGTGTGACCGTGCCCTTACTCTGACCTGCCATCTTACAAAGATATGACAGATTTCACACCCCTGTTTCTCCACCAGTAACTGCTGTCTTAATTGTTTCTGGGTTTCAGGTATTTCGCTTGTTTTTTCCACTTTTTTCTATGAATTTTCAGACTGGTTTGCCTAAATTTGTTAGTTTATATTGTGTTGTTATATTGTGTACCAACATTATTTTAATTATACAAGCCCTCCTTGCTGTGAGAGTAAGAAATTCGCAATTATGAGCAACAGACAATCAGGCTAGCAGGTGGGATTATGCAGGACCCCTCACACGCTCTCTTCACAGCGTTTGAGTGGCTCCCCTCAGGACGCCGGCTTCGCTGTCCCTGCTGCAGGACACAGAGGAGAAGAGCAACCTTTGTTCCCAGGGCTGTCCAGCTCCTCAACTCCTAAACCCCCCAACAGACACCAACACCTCTCACCCAATGCAGACTCTCAGCTGTGAACTTCCTTTATATTGACATGCACCTTAACTGCCTCTGCTTTATCTGCTCTCATGCACTACATCACTTTATTCTATCCATTTTATATCAGTATTCATACAGTTCTGGTTAATTTATTCCTGTTGTTTCTTATCCATCATTACACTACGGTCACTTTATTTATCTAATTCTTACCTTACAGTTATATTGTATATATTAGTTCTGTTGTTCCATTATTCACCATGCACCTTAATAACTTATCATTTAGTATTTAGCCTACTTGCACATAGCTCTGTATATATATATTTATTTCTCGTTTACTGCACATAGTTCTGTTTACATCTGTTTACATCTGTTAGTCCGATCACTGTCCACTTATATCTACTCTTTTATATTTTGTATTTTTAAGTTAAGTTTAAGCTTTAAGTTGTATTTAAATTGACACTTTATATTGAGGTTAAAATGTTTCGTTTACTTGCACTGTTGTTAATTTACTGCTCTGTGTGCCTTTGAATTGACCCCCGGGGACAAATAAAGTTTTTTGAATTGAATTGAATTGAATTGAATAAGATGCTTAATTCTTCAAAGTAAAGGTTCTTATTGAGAAATGATTTCAGTTTTAGATGATTTAATTTTCTTCTTGTTAGTGTATTTCATGCTACCAGAGTAAAATAGAGAGTGATGGCAGAAAGAAGCTGGGAAAGTGTAAATCACACCTGGAAGTCGCATGTTTGGGTTCATGCCATTGAAAGAGGAAAGAAGGGACATGAAGTCATCGTGACATTAGAGACAAAAGTACTGAAGAAACTCTAAGTTGTTCATAGACCACAAAAGAATAAAGATAAAGAAACAAACTGACCTCCAGACCAGACAAACTTTGGTTCACTATAAGGAGTGTTCATTTCTCCTCTTCCAGCTCTGCACACATATCCTGCTGTGTGTGTCTGTCCATGAACAATGAAGGAATACTTTTCAGTTCCATCTCTGCTTCCAGATAGCAGCTGGTAGTTGTAGGAGTTGTCAGATAGTTTGGGAATAGCTTCATACCAGTAGAACCTCCATCCTGCTGATGGGTGTTTAACCTCACAGTTCAGAGTCACAGAGTCTCCAGGACTCAGCCAGAGTGGAGACACGGTGAGGACAGGCTGGGGTGAACCTGTTGGAAAAGTGATTATGTCCTGTCAGCTCTCAGTTCAGCCTTTGGTGTTCTTGCTGTTTGATTTGGAAACAAAGATGTAAAAAGGTAAATTGCTGTACCTACAATTTGGTCAAATTCAAACAGTGCTGAGCCCAGAAGTAAAAATGACTTGAAGAATTATGAGCTGAAACTAGTGTTAAGATTTATCTCTTAAATTATATTAAATTTAAAGTACTTAAATTCCAGAAAAGATCCAAATCATGAATCACTTTAAAAAACAACATCAATCAATCAAATGTATTCATAAAGCACATTTAAAAAAACAAGACAAAAACTCACACAAACATGTTTGTCTTGTTTATTAACCCTAATCCGCCCCACAGAAAGAAATTATTCAGACACTGTTAGTGACATCAAAATTCACTGTTTTAAATCATATTAAGACATATTTTAAGAAGATTACAAAAGATGTGATAGTCTTAAGTTTCTCAGTTATTTTGTTACCATGCTGAAAGTTAAAAAATAATTTGTCACAGCTCCCTGCAAAGACTTTAAGCAAGCAATGTTTTGTTTTCTCATTTAGATGAAATCATTTCCACCTGGACATTTTAATTATTGACAACATGGTTCAACTTACGTGTTACAGTCAATTTGAAGGGTTCACTCCAAGGCGTGACGGTAGGATTAGGGGATCTCCTTCTGCCGATGCACTCATAGTCTCCGTTGTCAGAATCAGTGGCTCGGCTAATAATGTATTTATTATCTGCTGTTTCTTTGTCTGAGCTGTATGTTCTGTCTCTTCTCCATACAAACGTCCATTCAGAGTCTCCACCTCCCTCAATCTCACATCTGAGAGTAAGCATCTCACCCAAGAATGTTTCAGGCCAGTTGGATGTTGTGGTCACACGGGGACGGTTACCTGTTCACATCACAAAGAAACAGGATTGGAAAAAAAACTAAAAAGAGAAAATATTACAGTTTTCATCCATGATCCTTATTGTAATGATTTAAATGTCTGTACAATATAACTGTAACAATAATGACACAACAATAATGTTGTAAATGGTTTTAAAGTAACGTATAAAGCAGCGTTAAAAGAAGCAGCTGTTGAAGAGATATAAGACCTTACAGAGTCACAACAGTTTCTAGAAATACCAGCAGCTTTCCATGGTGAGGACAGAGTCGAGTCAAAAGAGAAAACTAAAATACATAGCTTAAAAAAAAAAACATTTTCAGTTCATGTTCTAGGACATTTTCTTTAAAAAATGAAGAGATAATACATAAACACAAAACACTACATGTGGATGATGTTAAAGAGATGAAGTAGGTAATAAATAGAGGAACTGCAGAAATATTTAAAAAACAAAAATCAGGAATATAAGACAATCACTTACCTTGAGCCAATCCGTGGGGGATCAAATTCAGCACTAAAATAAAGATTAATAGTTCATCAGGGAAGAATTAAAGGTGTTAAATCCAGATAGAGTTTCATTTTAGGTAACTGTTATTGTCAAAACTTTCAAAAACGAGATGGTTCATCTCAAGGGGCTATCCATCAATAAACAGAATTTCTCACAAAACAACAAACGTTTGGCAGCCATTTCAATCCTAAAGCTTTTTTTTCCAAAACTATCGACTATTTACTGTTCACGCCTTGTTCAAATGTTGTACAAACAGCAAGTGCTTAACTCCTGTTGTATTATTCAAACAGCTGAACTACATGTTCATAGAAACATGACTCGCTGTTTGAAAGTCACAAAACTTAAAGAGCTCTGATGTACTCACAGAAAAACCCCAGCACACAACGCAAGGTTTGGTCCATCTTCACATCCAAAACGACAATGAAACTCTGACGCTTAGTTTTAAAATAAAACATTAACTTTACATTTCTAATAATGCAGAAGGACAAGAGGAGAAAGACAAGTAACAGTTCATTAAAATGTGAGAGCAGAGTTTCTCTCGGACTTCTGTCTCTGTACTTCCTTCTCTATACACAAAATTCTAAGAAGTGCCAACCTCAACCAACCTGTTTACACTTCCTGTCTACTGCTCGAATAAGAAATGAGATAAGATCCTGTGCAGGGTCCAAAATTAACTTTTTGACTCACCGGCCAAGGTGGCAGGTAGATGAAAAACTTCACCGTCCAAACATATTTCTTTACCGGCCAAAATAACAAATTTTGTTTTTGTGTCCTGTACACATCTGTTACAGCACATTTAATTGAGAAGACATTATGTTTTGTTTAATCAATAACAAATTTAAGTCACAGATTCGATCATGTCATCAGATCAGGAAACTGAGAAATTGAAAAAAATATATTTGCTGGCCTTTGTTTTTTGTATTATTTGTAGGCAGTAGTTCCTAGACCTAAAACAGGTGCGCGTGGTGGCTGGCGCTGTGTGTGTGTGTGTGTGTGTGTGTGTGTGTGTGTGTGTGTGTGTGTGTGTGTGTGTGTGTGTGTGTGTGTGTGTGTGTGTGTGTGTGTGTGTGAGAGTGTGTGTGTGTGTCTGTGTGTGTGTGTGTGTGTGTGAGAGTGTGTGTGTTTCTGTGTGTGTGTGTGTGTGTGAGAGTGTGTGTGTGTGTGTGTATGTGTGTGTGTGTGTGTGTGTGTGTGTGTGTGTGTGTGTGTGTGTGTGTGTGTGTGTGTGTGTGTGTGTGTGTGTGTGTTTAGCTTTGTCAATATTAGAAACTTAATATAATCAGCCTGTTCATTATTGGACGTTTGTTCTCATGAACTGGAAGTCGAGAAAAAACATCAACATTGCACATTGTAAAAACTTACTCACTGAATATATATCAATGGAAAAACTAACTGCCTCACTCAGAAATCAAACTGCTGAATTTGAATCTGTCTGGAACCCAATAATCAACAACCTCAACTCATAACTACCCCCACAACATCCCACCCATCAACTCTTTCTTCCTGTGCACCAATCACACCCACACACACACACACACACACACACACACACACACACACACACACACACACACACACACACACACACACACACACACAGACACACAATTTATAAATGACTGCATTTTCATACACTTTTATTTTTTCTCAAACCAACCCCAAAACCCCGGCTGCAGTCAACTTCCGCTAAAACATAATCATTACACAAAATCTCACTTCTCACACCACAACATCGTTTAACATCAACATATTCAACACATACCACTGCTCCACCTCTCAAGTCCCCCTTACTAAGCACCTTCTCTCCCTCCACTTCTCTCTCTCTCTCTCTCTCTATTGCTTCCTTCACTTTTTCTATCCTTTCTTAGGTATTTCATATAATTTTGTAGTTTTTCTGTTCGTAGTATGATGTGTGTCTATTGATGTCTTATTTTTCTGTCTTTATTTGTCTTATTTTTTATTTTTCTATTTTTTTTATTTTACTGTATTTTGGAGCCGTTGTCCTGACCTTGTCTGTTTGTTTTTTTGTGCCTCATTTGTATATCACCAGTTTGTCACTTTATTGCACAAAAAAAAAGTATCCAGTAACAAATCATTTGAAATTTTGATCTGATGATGCTCAATAAAAATTGAAAGAGGAAAAAAAAAAAAAATGATTGGACGTGTGTATATCGCTGACTGCTCCTGCTGCACGTGATAGAAGAGAAAAGTGGAGCGTGCATTTAGCGTCCGCTAGCATATCTAAAGTGTTTGTAACGCAGCGCTGTTTCACAGAGTCTGTGTGGAGATGTTCACAGACTTATGACGTTGCTATCGCTAAGTTAGCTGCAGACACGGTGAGAGTGAACAGAGAATAGTCGACCGGATCACGTGTTTTCTTGACTCGGTCCGTACGGATCACCGATCAACTGTTTGCTGAAGCACTAGAAGTAAACAGGTGCGCGTGGTGGCGCTTGGCGGGTGTTAATTTCGGACCCTGCTTGTAGGATTTCATTTTCAGGTTTTGATGGATTCAAAAGTAAACCAAGTCTTCAGGAAAACTAATAAATATGATAACGCCTACAGTTACAAAATAACTGATCATAATATGAACTAAAAATCAAAACCGGTCCTAAAACTGAAGAATCATTTTTGAAGTTTGACTTCAATGGAGCAGGTTTGTAATCCCTTCTTCTTCTTCTTTTTCTGTCGTTTTTTGGCGGATTGCAAACAACTTGGAGGTGCCACCGCCTACTGTACAACAAGGTGTAACCTCATGTCTTTAACCTGTTCTTTAAAATTCAGAGGAAACAAATATCTAATATGTCTCGATCAGGGTGAAAACATGCATCAAATCATGGCTAAGGCTAACGGCTAAAAAACAAAACCAGGTGACCTTTTACATCCTGTAACATTCAGTCTCATGTTATAGGCCATACCTTTAGATTGAATGGATGCATGACTGTAGCTTAATCAACAAAGATGTAATTAAAGTGAGTACAGTGAACGTGCTCCTGAAGTGTAATCACTGGAACAATGCCCAGTGAGGTGGAGTCAATGGATCAGTATATGAAGGAGCTCACACACACACATACACTGTCACTGGACATTTTCTGAGAGCAAAAAATTCAACATTTAGCTTTTAATGTGTTTTAAAAGGGTGTTACACCCATTGTAGACAGTCATGACTCACATGACTCTGAGTTATTTTCAGAGGATATACTTGATTTCTACATTTAAGTGTGAAAAATCACATATAAAGCCTTTAAAAAGTCGCTTTGATTACACATTAAAGTCTTGATTTGAAACTCTTTTTGTTTGGTCTGAACCACTGTGCTGCCCTCTAGTGTTTAAACCAGGAACTGTTATTTCATTCAGTTTAAAAAACATCCACACTCTCATTAAAGTAGACAAAGAAACTAGTTTTTATCATGTACATTTTCAGAACAGTTTGATGCTTAACGCAGATTTAAAAAAAGATGATAATCTTACAGAGGAGAGGAGAGAGTGATGAACACGTGTTCATATTTAGCTCTTAACTCCATACTGACATGATTCTCTTTTTCTCCCCTCCTTCAGATATCAACCTTGCCAACGAGCCCAAACCTCACAGATCAAAGACAGCCAAGCGAGCTGCAGGAGACATGTACAGGTGTGTGTGCATTCATGACGTTTGAAACCAAAACATTCAAGCACTCAGACAGACTTTGTGATGCTTCATAATAATGCTGTTGTTAATGTTGCTACCCTGTCTCTGCTCTCTCCTCAGTCCATCTATTGATCTGGAGTATGACTTTCAAAGAGATTACTATGATCGGTAAATATTCTCTTTTTCTCTTTTTTTGTATTTTCTTGTGTTTCTGAAGTTCTTACTTATGTGTATTTGTATGTCAGGATGTACTCCTATCAGGCCCGGGTACCTCCCCCCCCTCCTCCCCCTCTGTTCCGAGCCGTCGTCCCCTCGAAGCGCCCGTGGGTCAGTTTAAGCGGAGGGGGCAGCCGACGGACCAAAACCAGCTTCTCCTCCTCAAAGAACAGCCAGAGGACGTCCAGGAACGGTGAGTATCACGGCTCGTGTCACGTTCACACAGCTTCACTCTACTCGCCCCTAAATACTTCTCTCTCCTGCGTTTCCCCCCCACCACAGCAGTGAAGAGCGACGACCTGCAGGCCATAAAGAGAGAGCTGACGCAGATCAAACACAAGGTGGACTACCTGCTGGAGAGCCTGGAGCGCATGGAGAAGGACCACGGCAAGAAGTCAGGTGAGGATCAGTGAGGGGGTTCAAATGCAGATCAGATTTTAGGGGTTTCCT